TTAATCACAGAATAGAACTAAAAACTGCACATTAAAAAAAGCATAAAATAAAAAATATTTAAATTAAGGCATTATAAACTTTTATAGATTTTAAACGCTATAGGTATTTTTTATGCCTCTATGTATTTTTCCAAAAGTCAACCATCATATGTTCGGCGCAGCATGTACGTAAAAACAACGACGTTTTATTGTTATGGTCATCGAGAGAAAAAATACAGGTTTGTAGCGCGGCGCACTTGAGCGATACTCAAGTTCGGAATGTGTGATATTCCCGGTCGACCCACATACCATACCGAGTCACAACATGAAAATATTTTTCGGGAAGTCTGTACCGTTGTTCAAAGCCAACACGAACACCTCAAGGTCAATCACAACTCTTCTCCACGAATCAATAATGAGACCACTAGTTTGGAAGTCACCATTGTTTATTTTCGATGATTAAATGAAGATCAGAATATGTATCATTATGATCTTCAAAGATCAGTTATAAAATTAAGTTAGCTGAAATCCGCTAGAACGCAAATATTACATAACAGTTGTGGCACATATGACATGAAAAAAACACTTATCTTTCCTAAATCTTTGTTGTAAATTATAATAACAGTACAGTTCTCAGATTTCTAACGGAGTTGACACAATATTTTGTTTGGCTAGTACTATCAAAGATAGGGGGCGTCCATTAATCACGTGACGTTTTTAGGGAAGGGTTTGAAAAAAATCACGAAATATCACGTGGGGAGGGGGAGGTATAGTAAGATATCACGTGTATTTATTTTTTTTACTATTTTTTACAGTTTTTAAACGTAACTAAAAATACACGTGATGTTTGGGGGAAGGGGGGTATTTTTGAATGTCACCATGTATAAGCAAGGGGGAGGGGGGTCTGAAAATCATTAAAAACTCGCTCACGTGATTAATGGACGCCCCCTACTAGTATAAATAGTATAGACACGTTCGGGGACAGTAAAAGTTTCAGCAAGGTACAAAAATTGATGGTCAATTTATTTTTAAATTGGTCATGATATCCGAAATTTTTTTAAACACTGTTTGTAAGGGTTGTTTGTAAGCATTCACGTCAAGTATTTCGCTTCTATTTTACGCAATTTGCTTGACCAAGCTAATTAGTGACGACGGGAAAAGATAACACAAAAATACCTGAAGAATCAATTAGAAATTACCTTGACAGTTATAATAATGACAAAAACGTAAGGTTAAAAAAATGAAACTCAAACTAATTGCTTGAAAATTTGACTGCTTTAGCATTCCTTCATCGTCCGATGAATGACAAAAGTCCTCACCCGAGTCCGCCATATTTAATAAATAATATATAAATTTTATTGTTATATACGATAGTAAGAATCTAAGGTAAAATTGATGTCAAAAGCAAATTCAAATTATCATCAATTATTAAATCGCCCATATCAGACAAAAACATTAAAAATTTCCAAATAGATTGATCTTTTATTAAAACTAACATTTATCAAAACAATATTTAAAATATATATTAAGATTTTGATTGCATATAGCTAAGTACGAGATTAATACAATATTTAATCGTTGAACTAATTTTAGAATTTGTATCATTCACTAGTAATTGTTATATTCTTCTTTTAAAACATCTGACTAGAAGAGCTTTCCATTACACGTCTTGATCTTTGATAAAACTTGAAAAAATAATTGAATTTGACTCATCATGAAGTATTAGAAGCTCATGAAAAGTGGTTTAATTATGAAATTTATTTAAAGTTTAGAAAAATACACTGTGTGCTTTGCATACGTAAAGATGATTCTGCGTTATTAAGGCTACGAACTCCTCAATTTCGCGTGTTCCAATTATCTTCAGCGCCTTTTTTACATATTTGTATCCTTAAATAGCGCGCAGCTTATTTTTCTGAACTTTAATATTTTTAAATATTAAAGCCTCGAATATTTTATGATGAAGATATATAACAATCCATCATCAAGTCAAGTTTTATTAAAATCCTAGACGAGCAACGAAAAGGCAAAAAATTGCAAATTTGCGGCATATGCTGGTTTTCTCGCATAATGTTCGTTTTGTGACAAGAATTATTTTTATGTCACAGTTTTTTTTTAAGTTCTCCTGTTATTAGGAATATTCACACTTTCAACTCGAAAGTGTGATAAAAAAAAACACTCTTGGACACACATTGCAATTGCAGAATCGCAGAAGTCAAAATAAAATTGCACATTTCGATGGTGTACTCACAACTGCATTTTATGCAAATAATTTGTAATAATTTGTAACAATTTGTAAAAATAATAATGATTTGATTTTGGATATATTTCAATTGATTCAAAACCTACAGAAAAGTAGGTCACGCGTTGTTTATAATTTAACGGAAATCTCCAATCAATTTATAAACACAAATCCAAATGACTCATTTGAACTCCATCAAATTTCTCACCTGTAACTGATTATCGACCTCGATCTTTCGCTTTGATTAAAAGCATTGATGCGCACACAAAACAATTATAATCATCAAAGCAAATTTATCATAAGAAAGTGACAAGCACACACATAAGGCAAATCAACGGGACTCGAAGAAATAATAGAAAACTGTCGTAGATGTACTGTTATTACATCAATAGTCTTGAACTAGTTAAATAAAACGTGCATATATGATGAGAGATGCTGCAGATTGCATGTCTCATTAATGTTAAGTTATGCAGAAGAATTTTTTTTGCTTATTGTTGTTGCAAAGAATGTGGGTCATTCGAAGTCACGTGTGGGTAACGTGGATAAGGCACGAAAGAAATGTTTCGGAAAAATGGGTCTTTCAAGGGAAAATTAATTGCATGTTAAAATATTTTTATTGCATATATAAATTATAAGAAAAAAAAGACCAATTCCGTCGAAAGTCTTTTTCTTGTGCCTTCATAGTTGTTCACAAATATACTTTCTATAAAACATCATTAATCCATTAAATAATCTATCTAACAATTTTCCTCACTGAAATATCACACTGCCCACTGGCATTTGTACAATCTTTCAAATCTTTTTGAAGAAAAAAATCCAACATTTCATGTCTTCGGTGAGTTTGTGAAAGCATAATTGACGTACCACAGAATTTTTCTATGTACTTTATTTATTAACATGTTTCAATAAGTGAAGTTTCTAAGATTTCATCAAATTTGACAATTCAAATATTAGAGATACTAAACAAAATTAATTAAAATGTTTATACATACCTTGCATTTATAGCGCTTCACAGTCTTCACTTAAAAATCGCGCATAATTTTGGATCAAAAAGTTGATCATGGTTTTTTCCATTAAATAATTGGAATAAATCAAATTATAATAACTACAAAACTATAGTCACATTTCCATCCGATTGCTTTAAAAAAAATCGGTTGAGGCAACTTTAATACAAAATATTTTAATTGCATTTTAATCACTGTGTTAAATTAGCAATAATTCGCGAAAAAAAAACTTTTCACTGATAAAATAAACACAGTAAATTCTTTTACTATTGTTGGATTCAAAGATTAACCGTCTAAATATACTTTTATAAATTAGCCGCTTTTGTGTCAAACTGAGAAAGAAAATCTTGTTCTCAAAACAATACACAACGACCAAAGTAGGTTGCAAGTGCAGGCGTTCAGCAACAAAGCATTTTAAATAATTCGAGTTTAAACAAAACTTTCTTAAAATGAACGGCCTCAAAAATGTACACGATTTTCAAGCCAACCATAAATCATGAACTTCATTTTAATTATACCGCGGTACAATTTGTGAGCTTTGCTTCAAATATCGAAGACATAAAAAACTGAAGAAAATCTTGGCACACATTGAACAAATTTTTCACCTCGCATGATTTTCACTTGAATACTCTTGATGAAAGAGTGAGAAATAGAACTAATCTTCTTGCAAATGTTTTATTTGCATGGAGAAACCTGAAATGCAGTTTATAGAAATATATTCCACGCAGTGAAATCATTTGCACGGACTAATAAACGCAACGTTTTCATTTACGACCGCAATTCACAAAAAAACGTCGTTTAAAATTATACTAACCATTTATATGCTTTGTAATATTCTTGTTTTTAAGTTGCAAAACGTCATTTATCAATTGATGCAATTTAATTGAATTCAATAATCCAGGATGAAGGTTCACTAATTACACATGGTAATCAAAACAGCAATTAGTTGACGAGCATAATAATTTAAAAAAATTCATAACCTCTGTTATATGTTGAATCTAAAATTCATATAAAAACACTGAAATTTGGGATACGTTACGGTGGCTAAATTTAAAACACTTGTTCATAACCGCTCGTGTCGTGCGAATTCACTTTGTTTAAAAATCCTCGAATCGAAACGTTAACTGCTATAATTACAGTTGATAAAACTTAATTACATTAATTATGAAATAAGTTTATTTGTTCGTTCTAAGCCATAATTGTTTTAAGTTTCTCGTGATAATTTTCTTCTTCAAAAATGTTTTTGATCCAATTAAAAATAATTATATAAAATAGTCAAGTAATTATATATAACAGTCCACATCTGAAAGAAGTAAAACAATATTTATGAACATTGTTTTATTATAAATTACATAAATGAGCACTTTTTGGAATTAGTACATAATATGTTATTATGCAGAATAATCTTTTTGACTATATCAATATATAAATCATTCATTGATAATTATTTTTCTACTTCATCGTTTGACAAATATATGTTCAAAATATATCTAATAAAGCATATATAAATTTGTAATTATAAAACTAAGACCTAACAATTTTGTTTTTCCCATAAATAATATCTACCAAAAATTTATCTTGAAAAAAAAAATGAATAAAATTCATTTAACTCATACTGTTTTCTTGATATTAACTGTGCCTACATGTGATCCTTACCAATATATAAATAAAGTATCGCTCTCCTTTTAGTCTTCTTTCATCCTTCGGAATCAGTAAATAAATATTTCGTTATTGGATTTAACTCATATCCTTCTTCTTTATTTCCAGAAACAATAAAGATGCATCATCAACAAAGCATAGGATGGGCCCTGGTGACCATGATCATTTGTTCAACAATCACGACAACACTCGGATATCCAAACCCGCCACAAGTAGCTCGCAGTCTGCCACAAGTAGCTCGTAGTTTACCACAGGCATCCGAGCAACAACTTGACCAGGACCACCAGCAACTATACCCACAATACAGGCCATATCCTCAGTATCAGGCGAGACAAGATGATGATCGCAAATTTGCCGAAAAACCAAATGCGATGAAAAAAGTTGCCCTGGATGATATAGACGACATCCAAACGAACCAAATACACGATGGAGGATTTTCTTGGTCTAACATGCTTGGTAAGTCATTCATTCTAATTTTATGGCAAGTTAAAGACTTGAGGAAAATAAAAAGTTATCCCAGTATTTGGATCAACTTATAAAAAATAGTTAAATCAATTCGGATAGATATTCAATTACAATAGACTATTAATTTTAAATATTGGTGATATAATATTAAGTAGGATTCGATAATTTCAATTTTAAGTTTTTTTTCAATCATTTTCATTTATATTTTTCAGGAATGGTGATGCAAATGATCTTCAATGGTGTTGGAGGTGGTCACAGCGCGCCTTCCAAGAGCGATAGCTTAGAAACTGATTCCATTGCCCCATCACCCTGGGCAAATATGCTTTCTGTAGGACTCAAAATCCTGACCGCAATCTTGGGCGGTGGAGTATCCAATGATGGTATTGACAAAGTTGACAATGGCAACTCCCCAATGCAGGTACTTCACACATATTAATCACATTGATTTTTTACTTCTGACCACATGCAATAAGCACATCGAAAATATTCTTCATACGGCACGCTTTTAGAAATCTTGTACTGATTGAAGTGGGTCACGTGTTTACGCTCAAAATAATAAGTATATACAAATCATAGAACAAAAAATATAAATATTAGCTTAGTCATTACAATAATATATGCACAACATGCACAAATATCAACAAATATTCAATATTCATACAGATTATTCAAAATTAATTTGTAATATTTCACTTATAATTCACATAACATAGCTTATACTCACCATAGTTTATAGAAACCACAACAATTTTGAAACAATGAAATAATAATCAAATATTTATATTTCAATTTGGAAATTCAAATAGCAGAAATATGTATAGAGTTTTGCAACGTTGGAACTGTATATAAGTATGGAATTTTGTTTTAAAATCATTTGAATATTCGTGTATGAAGAATGTTTCTTACAATTAGATAAGACAAGTATAACAATGTAATTCAATTTCACGTAGATAGCCTAATTGCTTCACACACCAATTTTCATTATTCAAAAATTACTACTCAATTTCAAATTAAATCATTAACTTCATATATCATCAGAACAAATATATGGAGATAATAAAATAATAAGTAATAATGATGTACATAATGATTCACTATTTCAAATAATCACGGTCCATTACTAACACTGCTCACAAAACTTCGTCAATGTAAGATGGAAAATCCATTCTGAAATGTGAAGAAAAGATGCTAAAAATGTTACATTGACGAAATGTTGAACATCACTAATGATCACAATCCCTTTGAATTGAACTAAACTGTTTGAGTAGTATTAGCCTACCTATCCTATCCGCTATGTTATCTTGCTTGCCGCAGGGTATTTTGGCGGCGGTGTTAGGCGCGGTTCTCGGTAGCAAAGATCCTGAGCAAGTGTCAACCATGGCCAAACAAGCAGGAGAGGTAAGTACATATGAAAATGGCGATTTTTTACGAAAAATAAAAGAAAATCGAATAACTTTTTAATGTAGATTATTTTTCTCCTTTCATCAGTAAAGTTCAAGTATAATATTAAATTTAAAAGAAGTACAAATACAGTACTATCAGCATTCAAAACTGTAAGCTCAATCAATGAGTAACCTCCATTAATATGAATTGACCAACTTATTTCATAAATTTATAAATGGCAAAAGTTCATCAGGATAACTGATTATTAATGTTGATCCGTAATAAATGTTTATGGTTGTAAATAGAAGTAGTGGTTGTGGTAATGTACATAATACAAAGTTTTTGGCATATTTTATCCCATATAGACAAACCAACTGACATAACAATATTTGAATGTATTGAATTCCCACATTTAGCGTCAGCAGTAGATTTATCCAATCAAAAGTAATATCAGGAAATTTAAAGTTGAATATTAAAATAAATAAAATGTATATATTTATCACTTATTTTGCTACATGACATATATATTTGCATATATATGGATGTAATGTTCCAAATGAAAAATGAATGACAAAAAATGCTGAAATTTTAGATAAATCACTCGTTCCAAAATTATGAGCGACAAAAAAAACTACAAGCACTTCGACTTCAACAATTGTATGAATAATTTATTTTTCCTATAAACTTAAAGTATAAATTTGCCGTATTCGACACTAGGTTCACGAGGGCGATCAATTTGACGGATCTCGAAGTTTGAGATGAAATTATAAAAAAAAACAGCACCAATCTTAACTAATTTGAGTCGTAAATTCGTGGTTTTGTTAATAGATATTATATATAATTATAATTTTGATATACTTTCTAAATTCTGAAGTTAATGTGCGGTAAACTTACTTCTAGGGGAATCGTCAATTTTACGAGATAGATGATTTCGTTAAAAAAAAAATTAATAAATTTGATTCATCTGTAATATTATGCCTTAAAGCAGTAAATATGATATTAACAGGGGGTCTTAAATGGACTAAATTTGATTATGTTAGGTTATTTTTTACACAATCAAACAAAAAAAGATAATCGCGTCACTCGAAGTTTCATATCACAAAATGTCAACATCAGGATTTCGAAAAAACTTACTGAAATGTGTAATAAAAGTAGAAAATGTGTTGTATTAAAACTGCATTCGGAAAAATGTATAAAAGACATCCAAATAATATGTTAAAAGAATCACGTTCGTCAAACATGGTTACCGTCTAGATTTCATATGTTTGCTATTTTTTCGTGATAATTTTTCCATATTGTTTATATGTGAGGTTTTATATTACACTGAGATAATTTATTTAATATTTATTTTTTAAAGAAAATACGAATTACGTCAATTTAACGAGTTTCCGTAGAGTTAAGTATAGATAAGCCCGTAAACCTATTGTTAACCCTTTACTGAAGGGACAGACACAACAATATATTATCGTTATAAATAAAAGTGTGTTGGATAATTAAAAAATACGAAACTAAAAATTACAATACAAATTAGAATTGCTAATAGTTTAACCCATAGTCATTAATTTTGAAGCGAAGTCCGTCGCGCAACATGTCGTCCATGGATGACACTCATTCACACAACACGTGATGTAGAATTCGTTTATGGACGTCACCCGTATACCCAGATAATATATAACAGAATGTCGCCCAAAAAATGTCGAAAAGCCAAAACGTCGAAAAACCAGATAACATAAAAAAATAATATTTTTGTTACTTTTACCAAATTTAAAGTTACAATTTCCGTATTAAAAATATATCGATTTTTGGATACAGTTCATCAACATCGTGGTCAACCTTCTGGACGCTCTCAAGACCTCATTCTCCCACCGTTCCCTACAAGCACGTTCTTCTGGCAAAAAAGATTCATTAAGCGACGCCGCCGTAGCTGGTCTTTCCATGTTCAAAGGGTACATGAGATCCGTCGGTGAAAGCGCAAGGGCCAACGAAGTGGAAACAGTCGAACCATGCATGCAACGCCGAGTATGCGAGGCTAGTGCAGAATGTATTGCGGCCATTGGAGGCGGAAGCATATTCTGCCAACTTGGAGCGTAAGTGGAAATCATATTCTTTTTTTGAATTACTTTTACTAAACACAATGTCTAAATATACCCATATATATCTCAAAGAAAATACTCTTAATATAAAAAAAGTTTATTAGGGGAGACTTGGTAGATATGGGTATCAGCCATAATTTTGTTAATTTACTAGATAGCTTGGAGAAAAGTAAATTAAATGGTAATTTGAACATTTGTCTACATAGAAATACTGTCCTTAAATGAATTTAATCCATGACTGATAGTCATAAAATCAAATCATACAAGAAAAGGGCGAGTGTCACAACCGTCCTTGGGGTGTGAACGGTTAGAAATAGATTAAAAAACAATAAGTATAAACACCGAAATGGTTTATAACGACTTTTGTTGTCAGAAATATGTAACGCATCACAACATAATCATCTAAACAAAGCTTATGAATATAATTTAACATAAAACAATTTTTGTCAAACAAAGTTATTAAGAAATCTATTTTGTTGTGCATTGAATTTTGCTTTCCTTTTCTTCTACTAATTTTGTCTTAGTTAAATTAAATTTTACTTTAAATGTTTAATCTTCTTCCGAAAAGGACAAGACCCACAACATGTCACAACTATACCCAACGTACACGCAAAAACTAAATGCTGATAATTAACTACTAATGTTCAACTGATAGCAAAATAACAAACAAACTGATCTTTCTTATTAAAAGAAATCGAACAAAAAAGAGGCACTTGTTTACTCTCAAAAGCAATGCGGTCTACAGAATATGTTAATGTAGAGCGCAGACTGAATGCAATAATGGGAACTTATTCAAACAAACATAATACATCTTTCTCCTTTGAACCCTAAATTAAAATCAGCACAGTATAACTGTTAATGCTGAGATATTGTCGACAGGCATCTAATAAAATTTCAGTTTCAATTCCTAACATTCAAACACGCATACAATTCAAATGTATGACAAAATAGCTTATATCCAAAAAAATATTTATTTCAAATCATATTAGAACCTAACTTTTTGATACATATAAAGGTTTTCCCAGAACATAACGTCAAGTCGAAACGGGGTAATAGCATTGAATCTAACTATGATGAAAAAAATTTAGAAACAAAGAAATATTCCATGTACATTTGAAAATTATTTTAAGCATCTCCTAGAGCTTTGGTCAAACTATGATAATTTCTCAGTTATTGTGGTTGATTTTATTATTTTCGTTAATTTACACTTTGGAACCGTAATCGTTAAGTAACATTTCTAAGACCAAAGTCAAAAATTATAATACAATTATCGTAAGTTTTCTACAATTAAGACTATTTGTTAAACTACAAATTAAAATTGTTCAAAATTGGTTGATAAGTTCCTTCAAAAGTTTGGGCGTTCAGTCAGGATTGGTATAATGGTATAATACTTGATAATAAAATTTCACAATAAATAAAATCGAGTTCAAAAATAAAAATCTACAAATCACATAATTTTTGTAGTGCATATTAATCACATTCAGTTCAGATTGTTAATTGTGTTATTTTTAGACTTCATTTTCCCGATTTTTTATACACTAACAAGTATTATACCATTTTACAATCCTAATTGAATTCGCAAACTTTTCAAGGAAATTGCCAAAACACTTTAAAGGACGTCCAAGTTTTTAGGATGGGTGTTTGACAAAAAATCATGAAATATCACGTGAGGGAGCAGTATAGTAAGAAATCACGTGTAATTAATTTTTACCTAAATTCCTAAAAAAAAAACAATGAACGCCCCCAATAGTGCACTTTTTGTAAAGAAGGGCCTCTCAAAGTCGATTGATTTTGAAAATTTCAAATTCATAGTTCAACAAATAGTCGTAATTCTTGAAATCTTAGAGCAATTGTGTCATTCTTTTTGACTGGGGCCCTAGAAATGTTATTTAGGATTACGGATCTAAAGCTTAAAGGGACAAAGTTAATAAAAAGTAACCATAAGAACAAGATGATCACACTTCACAAAAGCTACTTAAAAGCTCATAATTTTCAAACTATATGAAATATTTTTTTCTTAAATTTTTGTTATAATAGTTGCGATCAATTCTATCGCCAAGTTTTGGCTTGACTTTGAGTTCAGAGACACCCGCTATATATATTTCACAAAAAATTATTAATTTATTTTAAAATATTTTATTATAATCCAGATATGCAACCAGCTTCGCCTTGGAAAGATCTAGCGGTACTACATTCGAAGCCTTCTACGAGGCAGGCAGACGTGGACGCTCAGGAGAAGATTGTCGTCAACTATACTTGACATGCAACGAAGTCTGAATAATAAACAATATATGAAAATACTAAAAAAACACCATCAGAATAACCTACTTATAATTTGGAATTTCAAGAATCGCAATAGCTATATTGACCGTGATTTACTCAATATTACAATGATTTTTGAAATAATAAATAATCAATTATTTCCTATTTTTATTTATTGTTTAAAAATATGAAATAATTAAAAATGTCACCGCACTAAACCGAAAGTACTCTATTATTGCACTACCATCAGATTTTTCATCATGAAAAATTCTTGAAAATTTTGACAGACAATAAGCGTTGGCTGGTTATACTATAATTAGAAATATATTTATTTATTTATTTATTACATATAAATATAGTTAATTTTAAGCGAACGTAGAATGAATGTTTAATATAAATTCTATTGAATATTTAGAAACATTTTCAATGATTATGCCTGAAATTCAAAAGAAAGAAATGATAGAATTATTATTAAATGGCACGACTGAAATTTTATTAGAGAAATATTTGGACGCGTAATACTATAAATAATTAAAATTAATTATAGCATTTGTTGCACACTAAATATTATTTTGAAAGATGAATGAAAGTGATGAATGGATCATGAATGAATGTGATCGATAGGTATATTTAAGGAAATTTTGTATAAACAGTATTTTATATTCAATATATTTTAAAATATATGTTAATGAAAACTGTAACAATTTGTTTTAATTGAATATACCACATTTTATTCTTCATTATAGCATAATTTATTGAAAAAATATTATGTTCATATTCAATAACATTCTATTGAAATTGATATTGAATGATTGATATTAAAAAGTAATCACATTAAAATTTAGAATTATTCTAGTGTAAACATTTAGATTTTTTTTACACTGTACACTGAAAAAATATATTTCTGTGTAATTGATGTATGGAGGCGTGCTCCATATTGTAGAAATACCGGAATTGTCCAAATTATAGTCATAATAAATTTCATAAAATATTATTTATATTTCGTTTATTTTATATATGATTAATATCCACGACACTATGTGTTGTCATACTGATCGTTAATAAAACGTTATTGGTATTTTCTTATTTATAATTGAAAAGAAAGGTTTCAAGAATTATACATTTTTTTTGGCAAAAACTACTAGAGAGAAACAAAAGCCGTGTCCGATCTGACACTTGAATTTATTTTTGTTTTTTTTCTGTGCTGTCAATATATGGGCCAATCTGTCCAGTAACATGTGATGCGTGTTGACAAGCCGCGATGCGTGTTGGCAACCCGCTACAGATGTATTGTATTGTGCATTAATTGAATTCACTAGAACTTTTCGTTATATAGACAAAAAATAGACATTTGTTTTTAAGAATTTGATCGTCTACAAATTTGATTTTTATTGAAGATTTTGTTGTCTTAAATATTAGATTTTTTAGCAATGGTGCTTTGAAAGCAAGTTCAAATCGGTCGAGAATAATTTGAAATTATATAAATCGATTTTTTTCAATCTTTCCAAATTTTTTTGAGAAATTACTAAACGAAAATGACTAATACAAGAAGCAAAGGCGTATGATTGCTTACATGCAACTATAACTGTTCAAAAAGTGTAATCCACTTAATAGTTTTGATAATTTATAAAATCGAGACAATGTTTATTGCAACTACTTTTCGTGTTTTCAAATCTCAACATATACATATATATTGAATGCTTCGAGAACAGTTTCGATGTCAATAATATTTTATTTACTAAACCCAAATTTTGATGTAAAAAAATAAAGTCATTAAAAGATAGCGAAGAATCAACTATGATATGATATTTTTATTGAAGTTGCAAGTTGTTCTTGAATAAATCGAGTCACATCACATTGCACAAAGTTTTTTCCAGTGCACAATATACGAGTTAGTTAATATTCCGATCAATTCCAATAACACGTCATCTGCTTTTTTGTAATATACTATCTTTTAGCAGTTTCATTAAGGTTGCCTAAAGAAATATTAAAACTTGCAACAAATATAGAAGAACAGCATTTTGCGCAGTTTAATGCAAAAAAAATTGAAAAATATTAATATAAGCTATAAATATGTACATAAAATATAAATAAATAAGATAATAAAAATAAAATAAAAAATACCAAAATACAACTTGCAATTTTTCATCATTCTAATGCACTATAATATTTTACATCTCTATGATTTACTTCAATTTGAATTAAAAACGGTACTTGAAACATATGAAGAAATAGAGTGAAAAAAATGTTTTAACTCAGTTAGCAAATTTTGTTCAGATTTAGACCTAATTAACACAAACAATGATCTAATCTAATTAAATATATTAAAAAGATATGAAAGTTTAAATTGAACAAGAATTTAATTTTTAAAAATGCCTATGAAAATAATTTAAATACTATTTATGGATTAATCATTAATATAGCATTATAACTAAAATTGTGTAACTATTTGTGTCAAGAAAAGGTATAAATTATAATAATGTGGCACGTTCTCTTTATCACCTATGGCACCTTGACAAATGTTCGCTCTGATTATCACCTACGATTCAAACTATGAACACATTTTTCGAAGACAAGCAATAGGAGTTGTAATGAAGAACATTAAATAATTCATTCCGGAAATAATAGGTTTGTATTAAATTCTATTGGGATAATGACAACCGGTACGATAAAAGTATCTTCGCGATCGAATTTATAGGCGCGAAAGGGAGAAACAGAAGAAAAAATATGATTAACACGTTAGAGCCCAGGCAACTATCCGTTTGGCTGGCGTCGGCCCTGAGGGCCGGCACTACAATTTCTGTTTGAATTATCTGTGTGATCGCAAGTATTAAAGTTAAAGAATAAATTTAGTCTTAATGAAATACAGGTAAATATAATTACAATGAATATTATTGTAACATTCTAAACAAAAATGTGATACGTAGTAAACGTTGCCGACCGTTCGTCACTACCAGCTGAATCGATTTTTTTTATTACATTCTATGAGTTATTTTAATTTACATTTATTAAATATTATTATAGCTAGTAGTTACCCAAGTAAGTAATTACAATTTGATACTCTTTATTAGATTAAATTAATTAGCCACAATTTTTTATGTCTTCTTAATTCTGGTGTAAGAAGCAGTGGAGCAACGAATGAATTGCGGTTATTTTCTAATTTGTGATAATTAGCGGATCTTGTTTTTATAAAGTTTGTATAGCATCTTCCGATCATCATACAAAGTTTTATTGTTCACGTACCAAAGTGCACCCGTCATCATTCTAAGTAGTTTTGATTAGGTCCGCTTAACCAATGCCACATTAGATTTACTAGAGACAACCCCAAAGCTCTATGCCCGTATGACCAGATAGAATTATTATCTTTTTATAAATCAAGATTTAGTTTTCGAGCGCTAATTTTGAATTATGTCCGATTCAATTTATTCTGCAGAACCAGAATTCAAATGGGATAGCATAGTCTAATGTTGAATAATAATAAATACACTGAAAAGCAAATCGTTTGAAAAAGCCTAGAAAGAATAATCATGACTACGTGGATATGAAAAAGACTCTGCCTCTTTAGCACCACTTACTATAATGCTCTCTCATACTCATAGAGCGAGGCGAACATTGGCATAGTACAAGATGAAAATTTACGCTTTGGCACAAATCATATACCGTGAAAAATGTCGCACTTGAAAACGAGTCATAACTGAAAATTTATTTAGTTCCTGTTATGCAATCATTTGAATAACACCTAGAAAAAAACTCCACAAAGTATAAAATAGTATATTTAATAGAATTGTTTATCTAAATTTTTGAATGTCAAGCGTTTCCTAATTTGGTATACAGTGAAATATTGTTATAATCCATACGAAAGATTTAAAGTGCAAAATATGACGTTATCCAAAATTATGGGACAAGGCCCGACACCCGATGGCGTGAGAAATATTTACTTTATTTCACCTATTATATTTACCACTTATATTTCATTTCCATAAAACTTAGTAAGAATTTAAATAAGAAAACGTAGTAAGAACTTAATAAGAACGATATAATTTTGAAACTCTAAAAATTTTATAGTTGAACCATTTTTCTAAAGTCTGGTCTTAAAATATTAGACTTACAAAAACTATATAAATTCCTTGAAGTTAGTATTAATTAATTCATTAAGTAATTGTAAAATTCATAAAACTTTGTTAACATCTTTGTCTTAACAGACCATGATCTCTATAATATAACCAGTGGCGTAACTATAGGGTGGCGTCGGTGGCAAAATGCCACGGGCCCCCCGACCTAAGGGGGCCCCGGCCCAGGAAATCGCGTAGTCAAAAATTCATTTTTACATTGTAAATAAATTTTATTTCACTTGAAACCTATATTTTATATTTTTTAAGTTCAAAGTCGGAGTTAATTATTTAACCAGGCTTGCATCAAACTTACATTCGACCGAATATTTAGTTAGTTAAAACCAAAGAAGTCGCCGCCCTTCAGCGAAAGTATTGTGTTTTATCTTTTATGAGATAAAGAGCTGCGATGGATCTGCATTTGAAAATCTTTAGTTTATATAATATGATATGAAGAATGAATGAAAGAATTCATTATTGTATATATAATAAATTTAACGTTATCGAACTTTAAGATAAAATACGAACACGTGAAGAACTCCTTTTTCAATATCTGGGATGTAGCACGCCTTCGCGGAGCCTCGTATCAAAATTTGTTTGGGGGCCCCCTTAGGAAGAAATTTTTTATCTCAAAATATATAAATACATGAAATTAGTAAAATAGTTATTTATCATTCTAATTGTTTTTCTATCTAATTTTCTATAATTTTCAGAATTTTTCATAAATGATTTGAGATAAAAATATTCTCACCTTATTCTTTTTTTTTGAAAAACTGAATCATTAAGTGATCTTTAGATTTTCTAAAGTTTCTGTCTCTAGAAACAATAGTGACAGGTCTAATAGACATTTGTGTTCCAAAGTATATTCGTATTTTTTTTTTTTTTTTTTAATTTTGAATATTATCA